TTGTGTTGTATGCATTATTTTTGTTAAGAAGTAAATGTGTGCTGAATAACAACCTCGCGATTGCTGAAAAAGAGAACGACACATTTATAATCCAGTGCCAAGGTTAATAGAAAGTCGATCTTGGAAACTGTTGAAAGATAAGTTCACAATGTTTTACTTTTTATTTTCTGCCTTCTATAAGTTTCATGGCAGGGTATTAAGCGAAATACAACCACAAGATTGCTGAGATATTTGCAAAACTCCGGACCGCAGCTGTCTGTAGTGGAGAAGGAGCGCGCTATATTGTCCTTTCCGGGGAGTAACGCGTTCACCACCACACCATGTGGGTCCTTCGTTTCGTCTGTTTCTCATCTAGTTCTGTCGATCAGTGCCGTCAGCAACCACTTGTCAACGGGATTGATCCAAGGAGCCCACATCTACATTGAACCCAGTTAAGCTGAGGCTATTGTTGAATTCACAATGTTTTACTTTTTATTTTCTGCCTTCTATAATTTTTATGGCAGGATACTTCGCTTAACATACCTATTGTGGTGAGTGTCTGTACACATTGAGCTGCAAATTGAAGCATGATATTCCCTTTAAGAGTTGATGCTCAGGAATTGAGCTAGACAGAATTTGGTGTACTAGTAGCTGTTCTTACCTCCACAGGAGAATTAGAGTGCCGGGCCGGATAACGTTTGTGTGATTTGCACCTGCAGACACTTTTTTGCCGCAGGTTCTAAACAATGCATGGAACTTGGCTATGTGTTTCTAGATCTTGAAAAAAATCTTTTATTTGCAAGCACTTCATCCGTTCCATCGATCTAGGACGGTTCTTCGGCACTCAGATGCTACAGTTTTAGGGAAAAATGTCGCTGACTGTTGTTGTCAGTGAGTGTGGTGGTTAGATAACACTATAGTTAGGAACGAAATATAAAAATAAATAAAAAACGATAAAGCTCTCAACGTTGATCAATCCTTCAGGGATGCCATGCCCCATGCATTCGACTTCATTAATTATCGTTGGAGGTGATTGGATGCATATCTGGCCTTTACAATGACTTGCGGTGGGCTACCGATGTAAAGAGCCAGTGCTGCTATCCTCCCAGACAAGTTTGGTACCAATTTGCCGACCCGGAGGGATGGAAGGCTTGGCGGGCCATGGGCGCGGGGATCGATTCCACGTGTGTCGCAGCGGCGCCTCCAACCACTGTGCCAGACGCGCCCTGGAGCGAAATATAATTGAAACAAATTTGAGAAAGAAATGAAAGAGCTGCGCAAGTTCACCCGTATCCCAATAAATTGTTGAAATTTTTATTCGTAGTAGCACGTTCTTCACTGTAGACGATAAACGCGTCCGGCATTGGACCACATTTTCCCAATCTTAACTCTTTTCGGTTGATCAGAGGAATCGAGGTTGTAGCTAATCTGACGTTGACAAGATAGCTAACGCTGAGTGAACTGTGGCAGCGATTTCTCTTAAAGTTCAAGCACGACTACACCAGAAGCAGCTCGTAGTAGCACGATCTTCACTGAGAATTTTATGCTTAAGGCTATATTCAGCTATCGCTGTGTAGTCTTTGATGTTCCGAGGAAGAGTCATTCCCCATATCATAGATGGTGTTTGGGTGATGTCTTCTTAACGCGATCAGTTAAACGGCGTTGAAAATAGTTGAACATAGATAGCTTTAAGCATCAGATTCTCAGTGGCTGCTTTTGTCGTAGTCGTGCTTGAGTTTTAATAGAAATCGTTGTCAAAGTTCCTCCAGATTTTGACAGACCGAGAAGGTCCATAATGACTCCTCGTTGCTGTTATGTCGAAAGATCGAGATCATTTGCTTTCATTGTTTTCGGCAAGAAATATCCACGGGTAGCACAGCGGTATCTGTTGAGGAAAGTGGTGAACTCATAGGTAGTTTTCAATTCTTTCCCAGAGGGGACGCGAGGTCTATTACTTGGAAGCGTTTTATTCCCAACCGCTTTCCATGTAATACCTAGGCAGCTTATTGGCTGAATCAATGTGAAGCATGTAATATTGGTTTATGTAGTGGCACACTTGCTCATGAAATAGCTTGTTATTAAGTAGGTATCTGGAAACTGGATGCGCTACACAATCTGGATCAAGATGCCTCAGATTAGGAAAATTGGTGGGCTAAGCTGTGTATTTTGTTGTTGGTGGAAGATAGACAATGTGGACAAAGTCCTTTGGTATAGATTACTTCTCTTCGATAAAAATATCTAGACAATTCTTCATTTTTCTCTTAATGAACATTTAGGTGGAGCAGCAGATTGAAATGTGCATACGTGACAAGGTCGATGCCTTCATTGAGCTAGCGCAATATGACTGGGAGTTGCCGGCTTCTTCAGGTAATATGAGCCTTCGTTTATTCACGGGTACCTTGGTTTTACGTCTATTACACGGTCTACTTTATGAATTAAGTTACATCAGCGATGATGAACTTATTGTTTAAAATAATTGTTCAGAATTTATTTCGCATATATGCACTACTGGCTGCTATATTGCATCACAGAGTTAAAACGTGAGAATACTATTTTCAGGTTATGCTTCGGAATATATCAGTGACTTAATTAACTATCTTTCAACTACTTTTCTCTCATTCACTAATCTTCCGTCGGTACTTGCACGTCATGTTTGCATGCAGGTGAAGAGAACTTAATTCTTCTCTCACTTTTCTAATGTTGATGTTGTGACAGTTGAATAAGAAGTAGTCCAATTTTTTTTTGACATTTCAAGGGTATTTAATAAAACATCACCTGGATTTGAGGGACGAAATAGTTTTTTTTTATATCCCCTTTATCGATTTGTAAGCAATGAAAAGTTAGAATGCCTACATAAAGCTTAGAAGCAGAATCCTCTATGTGTTGGAAATGTCAATAGCAAATGCTTTCTTGTTGCTGATTGCATCGAGTCACGCGAAATCACTTCGGCTTTGACATCCCTCACCTCTAATCTTTGGTCTTCTGAAGTTTGTAATCACAAACTGGTATTTGCTTGCTCGAATACTAGAGGCTGCTGAATACGAGATTAGGCTCCTTCCAATCCGCAAAAGATGGGGCCTTCTTGTGTTGAAGATCTGGTACTCTCTAGCGCGACTGAACCAGTATTCGAGGAAGAATCGACTCAAGTAGCATTCAACGACATTAAACCTTNTTTTTTTTTATATCCCCTTTATCGATTTGTAAGCAATGAAAAGTTAGAATGCCTACATAAAGCTTAGAAGCAGAATCCTCTATGTATTGGAAATGTCAATAGCAAATGCTTTCTTGTTGCTGATTGCATCGAGTCACGCAAAATCACTTCGGCTTTGACATCCCCCACCTCTAATCTTTGGTCTTCTGAAGTTTGTAATCACAAACTGGTACTTGCTTGCTCGAATACTAGAGGCTGCTGAATACGAGATTAGGCTCCCTCCAATCCGCAAAAGATGGGTCTTCTTGTGTTGAAGATCTGGTACTCTCTAGCGCGACTGAACCAGTATTCGAGGAAGAATCGACTCAAGTAGCATTCAACGACATTAAACCTTAAGGTAGCATGCGAACTCACACGAAGAAATTCGAAGTTAGTAACCACCACACGATGTGCTTATGCGTTTGAAACTCACGTCAACCGTTCATACCAGCAATTCATACGGTCTATCACGTACGGATTAATAAGTTTTACTTCCATATCAATTGTGAACAATACTTTCTAAATATAAAGTAAAGGAGTTTTCCGAGTATGAAAGAAAGTAGTTGCTAAACAATTTTTGGTAAAGTGTGGCTAAACAATACACTTTCACTCCGATCATGCGCAGAAATACTGTCATTATTTACTGCCATAGTCTGCATTAATGCCAAATTAAGGGTGACTTTCAAGCAAAATTTTTTCTTATGTTATGTGGTGTTGTTTCGGCTTAAGCTAGTTTTCTGAAACAAAGTAGGGGAAATTTTGAAACTGGCTTTCTTCAGAAAATCTTGAAACATTTAATGGATAGAATAATTATGAATCGAACAAACAAAAATTTGGAGCGAAACAATCACTTTTTCTTTTACAGACTTGTAAACATCTGTCGTCAAGACTGTCCGAAGTGTTGCTGTCACCAGATGTTCGTGCTATCTCCATGGGAGCTTTGGAGCAGTTCAGTTTAGATGTTATGCAGTGTGAAATGTTCACAGCCCGGTGTCCTGTATCCGGGTTTGATCATAACACGCTTCCAATGACATTTGCACACCTAAGGTTAGTGCGTTTTTCTGTTAACGTTCTCTTTTATATTCGTAATAATTGCTTGAATGATTTGGTGAACCGTCTTCACATGTTGTATAAGTTCTAGCATTTCTACTTCTTTCATTATGCTTCCACGAAGACGGTTAGTTAGGGTGTGCATTCGGCTCGTAACATCTCATAGCATGATTGACCCATCCATATATCCCTTAGATTCAAAGTGTGTTCTCCTGGTTTTTGAAGATAAGATAACATTTCCCGTAATGTGGCGCGTTCCGGTTAGGTGTTATGCCTGCTGTTTATATTACAAAAGAAATTTAATAGCTGTATGAATGCTGAGTAAAATCCTCAACGTGGTTGAAGTGTCAAGCCACACCTCGTTGGTATTGTATAGTGCTGGGAGAGCTGTTAAGTCAAAATTCTGAGCGCAGAGTGTTTGAGTTCTCGAGCCGTCTTTTCTGAGAGACTCGAACACGATGTATGGCGTCCTCCTTTAATGTGCAATTGCTCTTTATCGTTTTCCATGTGCATTGAACAGTGTAGATTATGCGTAAATTATGGGTTTTGTAATCAGATATATTCGGAGAATTATCCATTTCGGTTTATTAACCTTTGCATCACAGGTTTTTCATGGACTGCATTTTCTTATGTTTCATGCGCAGTTCTATCGTGTTTTCTGTTTTGTTGAGGTCTTTGCACATCGTCTACGTTTCATTGGTGTCCTGAAAAAGTTGGCAATGTCTTCAACAATGCGATAGTTTTGCACGAATTTATACACGTTTGTAGTGCATTTGCATCAGTTTTATTTGAGAGGAGTCCAGTATTTGGTCGACAAGCGCTGATAGAATGGCGTTTGGCTTGACGTTGTCAAACGACTTTTCGTAGCGAAAATAGTTTGGAAAAGAGGTTGTTTGTAGCATTTCTGACAGATTGATGGACATAGTTACGGTCTATCTCTGCAGCGGAATCCTAATCGGAATTCTTACTCTTTCGTTTGACGCTGTGGCTATGCGCAATAGGATGATGGTCTTAAAGAGGAAATTGTAGAGTATGTTCAACAAGGAGAAAGGGTTATAGTTACAAACTTCTCTCTGGATATTACGAGTTGCACAAAAGCGACTGGCTTCCAGATTGAAGAAAATTAGCTTTATCATTGTTTGATATCGAACCTGTTTATATCTTCAAAGTTCTGGTAGTTGCTTAAAATTTAAAATGAGGAAACTCAGGTGGTATTTGTCTCCAGATTTTTGGTAATCAGAGTGAGAAATATTTGGTCTTAAGCTAAAAAAGGTCTTGTAGTTAATCAATCCGTGAGTGATGTACCATGCATTGGACTCCGTTAAGCATGGTTCGGAGGCAATTGAATGCATATCTGGCCTTTACAATGACTCGCGGTGACCTAGCGTTGCTCAGAACCAATCCTGCTTTACTCCCAGACAAGTATAGTACCAATTTACCGACTCCGGAGAGATGGAAGGCTTGGTAGGCTGCGGACGCATGATCGATCCCATGTGTGTGTGTTGCAGGGCGCTTCCGACCACTGCGTCACACCCTCCTTAGGTCTTAAGTTAGGTCTTTTGAAATGTAATATGCATTATTCTTTAGAACTTCCCTTGTGTTTGCATTCATAAGAAAAAAAAAGATTTCAGCCGAAATTTTGTTCTTTAGACTGCCTGTATTTTTCCTCTAGAGTTATGGTAACAGTTAGGAATGCACCATTTTATATTTGTAAGAATGTTACTAATCTCTGCATAAATCATTTTATTAGACGATTTTCATGTTTAACGGCTGTTTTCCTTCTTTCTAGAAAATAAATCTCTATGCTGTGGACGGGATCCCCTCATTATTAAGCAGGCGGGGGAACACTGGGTAGAGTTTGTGGTGAGATTGAATTAAATAGAGTTTAATGGTGCTCGCTCAAGTTACTCGCTTACTAACAGGACTGCAGGTGATACCAAATTGTTTAGGCAGTTATTGGAGCTTGTGATGAGCAACGACTGGACGTCTTATCTAGCTGAATACGGTCAAGAAAATGGCACGTATGTTCGTGTGAACGCCTCAACCGCCACGCAGTTATTGGAAAAGTGCGTCTGCTTTTTCCTTTCCTTTATGAATTTCAATGATGTTGGAAGTGGAAATTAATTCTTGCGAAGGTCGACGTTTTATTCGGTATCAGCAGCTTTCTTTAGTGGTACAAATTTTCCAGGATGATCGAGTTTGAAAAGAAAAGCGCGGGTTTCTTCGGTATCAATAAAGGCGATCGCAAGAAATTACTAGATACAATTATACGGCAGTTGCGTGCTTTATCTTCCTAATAAATATTGTATAATTGTTGAGACATTTGTTATTTCAACCGTGTTATTTTGCTACTCTCAGTAGCTTTGTAGTAACTTTTTGAGCCACTAGTCAGAATGAAATCATAATGTGATTGTCCCTTTCAAGTGCTTGAAATGTAATAAGTGGCTGAAGAGCTTCCCATCCACACTTGATGCTCATGGAGGTAAGCGAAGTAGTTAGCTATCTTCTTTACTTCTTGATGATCTTCCTTACATGATACTTGATAGTTGAATGGCCCATTCTCACTGGTTGTGCATAATCTCCATTTTTCGGAGATTTGCTGGTTGAGCCATTGTGATTCCCTGGAATTCCGACGTCAGCTTAACCAAAATCTACCCTAGGTCGCCACCACCACAGGCAGTCGCAGCCCTTGTAATTGGTTTACTCTTAGCTAGGCTTCCTAATGGAAACGTCGGTTTCCTTCTCAGCTTAGGAGAGCATGCCAGGGAGTGAATCCATCCGCTGTACATCGCAGTCCGACACTAACCGTTGGGAGGGAGTATCTTCCTTGTAGGTACAAAATAAATTTTAGAATTGAATGTTCTGCGGCGTTTCTAGTAGAAGGTTGTTACTAAGTGAGGCGTTTCGACTACAGAAACTGGTGAGTTGTCGAGAAGAAGATATATCTTCGGTGAAAGTTTAAAAATCTATTTCGCAGTTTTCACCATCGCCAGTGATTTCCTTAACAAATCGACTATTTACTGACTGTTTATTGACAATGGTTTGTCTTTCTCAAGATAACTCATGTTGGACAGTAACTAGTGAATCGGAACATTTCAAAATCACTTTTGAAGTAATTAGTTGGAATTCAAGTGTAGTTCCAGTAGATGTCCAAATATGTTAGTGATTTTAACGATTTTCTACAACTTATGTTGAAGAGCTCTCAAAAATGCAGTAAGAAATGCTTTGATGAATTTGGTGCTTGATGTCATCTGAGGTGGTTGACGAGTTAGATGGTTCAATTACTGGTTGGAGGAATTGAACCATAAATACCACAACGATGTCCTTTTCAAAATTTTTTGTCGCAGACTTCAGTGCCGGAATTGGAATGGCCGAGTAGATCTATTACGGGATCGGAAATTTTCAAGGATTAGAAAGTAGTGGGGATGGGAACCATATTTCAGGAGTCCTATCCACGATAGGCTTCTTACATGAAAATTCGTCCTAACGGAAGAGCGAAGTTCAGCTCTGAACATGCGAGCCACCTTATGGTACTACACATTTGGAGATAGATCTTAACCTCACAAACAGGAGATTGTTCGCTTTTGACACTTCCGCGGTCTCATAATTCTATATCGGATCTGATCACCGCCTTCGCGCGGAGATTCGATTCAGACGTAAGCTGAAAGAAAATTCTTTTCACCAGCAGAAAAGAAGAATGCAAGTCGAATATGACGGTGGTCACCTAGACGAAATCATAACTATAGATGACAGCGAAATATTTATTGATGAATTTAAAAGTTGTGCTGAGCACGGTGCAGTTCCTGAGTTCAGAAACCTGAATCGGAAGGAGTTGGCGAAAACAAGAAAAGTAGTACTTCGTCTTATTGCTACGGACCTGAAATGGCTTACAGTAAACTTTTGTTGTAAAAGATCTTTCCTGGTTTTACATAGGAACAGGTAGATAAAAAGTGTTATTAGCAGCCCAAAAAAGAGCCAGTCGGAAAAAGTGCCATTAAGGTCTGTGAATAGAATTTCCTTCTGTTTCTGTTCAAGAGAAAAAAAACATGTGATTAGAATATATAAAAGGACAAGCATTAAAAATCTTGCATTTATTTCCGAACAGCTAAGAAACACCGCCATTTAAGTGCAGAATAATTTCGACGCCACCGAAATAACGGCACCTGGTGCTGAAGACTAGTTATGATTAGAAATGAGAACGCAAGATAGATAGATTCCAAGGGAACGAATGATCTAACCAGGAATAAAGAACTAGTCCTAACATTGAGCTCTAATTTTTTCAAAGCTATAAAATATTACAAAAGACGTGAGGCAATACCATATGTAGATTCTAGAAAAGGACAACAGATTCTAGAGCATAACATAATAACTGCCACTTTCCTTGTCGACAAAGCACGTGAACAGTTCTCCTCAAATGTTTTGAAGAGCTTGGAATAAATGCAGCGTAAAGTTACCAACCAACTGGCGTGGCCTCAATCTCAGCTCGATCTAGTTCTATGGCTTCGTCCAGATTTTCACGTAGTCATTCATGAACGTTCGGCGACATTTCATCGACAGATGTAGGCTTCATTTGCACAACACTCGACTAAAGTCTTCAATTAGTTAGCAGTAAAACTGAGAATCAAGCCATGTTTCGTTGCTTAAACAGCCATGAATGTAATGTTTGTTTACCTAGGGAAGAATCACGTACCCATAAGAAATCGAGAAAGGGATTTCAATGAGGATTACCGAAGAGGCGAAATTCATGAGGATACATTAATCACAATAGCCGTCTTTGATTTTTTAGGCTTTTCGTTACTTTACGCTATGTAAACCTGCGTTACGCTACTTCGTTACGTTTACGCTACGTAGCATTAAGCCAGGTTACGTTTCACTACGTTACATTACGTTACGTTAAACACATACGTTAACTAGTAATAAGCAGAGACGCCTCCCTGCACGCTTCAAATGTAGGGTAAGAAGACCACCGACCCGATGATCAGAGTTGTTCACGAAGAGCTTAGAGGAAGGTTATGATGCTCAGCGAGTCTCTAGAGCGAGTACATCTCATTGGGCTGCTTTTGCATGCGGCAGAGAGAAACGGAAAGTCTACTGGCCCCCATAGAGCCAGTCGAGGATCAACAAGATGACAGGTTATAAGGGTGATCATCGCTGAAGAATAAATGTGAAGGTCACTTACGAGAGCATATTCTTGAAGGAATCTTAATGTTTTCCTTAAATGACGGAACATAGAAGGCACAACTACGTATTTATTAATGAACTTGGTGCCAGATATTATTTTAGTTAGTTGACGAGTTAGATGGTTCTATTATTAGCTGAAAGTATTGAACCACAGAAACCACAACTGTAAGTTTTTTTTTTAATTTGATATCGTAGACTTCAGTGCCTGAATTGGAATAGCCAACCAGATCGATTACAGGATCGGAAATTTTCGAGTATAAGAAAGAGGTGAGGATTGGAACCATATTTTAGGACTCATACCCACGATAAGCCTCTTCCATGAAAATTCGCCCTAACGGAAAAACGAAAATCACCTCTGAACATGCGAGCCACCTTACGGTACTACACATTTGGGGATTGACCTTATCCTTAGAAACAGAAGACTCTACTCTTTTGATACCTCCGCAATCTCACAATTCTATAGCGAATCTAATCACCACCTTCTTCGCGCGAAGATTTGATTTAGACATAAGCTGGAAGGAAATTCTTTTCACCAGCAGAGAAGAAGAATGCAAGTCGAATAGGACGCTCGCCTTTTAGAAAAGATCCTAGCTATAAATGACTAGGAGGTCAAGAAATATTCGGCCAAATCCTGCGAATTATTTACCGATGAACTTAAAAGTTGTGTTGAGCATGATTCAGTCCTTTAATTCAGAAACTTCGATCGGCAGGAATTGTTGGAGAAAATAAGAAAGCTGGTACCACATGTATCAACTGTCGTCTTTTGATCGTCGAGCGACTTGAGCGAGCGCCAGTAAATCTTCCATTTTTCCTTACCGCGTGCAAGAGTAGCCCAGTGGATTCTGCTCGCTCTAGGAACTCGATGAACGTAGTATCTTTCTTCTAGGCTTTTCATGAAGTACTTTGACTATCGGGTCGGTCTTCCTGCAGTGCGTTTAATATCCCGAGGAATACAGTCACTAACGGCTCTCGTCCATCGGTTGTCATTCACACGCATTACGTGTCCCGCCCATCACATCTTTGACTGTTTGGCGTGTAGAACAGTAGTTTTGATTTTTAGCCGTTGGCGCAAGTCGGAGCTTTGGATCCACTTCTATGCGCGTGTGACAAAGGATACTCCTTGCATCATCCTTTCGACTTCGCGTTCAAGAACGCTGATCGGTCATTCATCCTGCCTACACCGTGACCAGGTTTCTGACGCATACATTAAAGCAGGAAGTACCCTTGAGTCGAAAAGTTGGGCGCGTAATCGGGTGTTCCTTGTTCTCTACATTATATCCTCGATGCTCTCGGAAGCGCACCAAGCCGTTCGTTTCTTCTGCTCAGCTCTGGAGCTAAGTCGTTTATTGTGTTGATTTTTCCACCTAGGAAGATGTAGCTGGAGCATTCGGAGATAATCCTTCCGTTGAGCGTGAACGATGCATGAGCATCAGAGAAAGCATTCTGTTCTTCAAGAACATCCCTTTTGTTTAGTCGAGTATCAGTTTCCAGTTCTCCGCAAGCATTACCAATGTCGGCTAGCATTTGCTCCGCTTAGCTATCGCAGTCTAGGTGAGGTCCCAAGTTTGTACTCAAACCTCAGCATCCATGTGGCTGTATTTCAAATACTACCCTTACATGGAAAAATAAAGGATAGAAATTAGAAGAGAGGTAAGAAATGGATCAACGCATTCTGTAGTGCTTTAGGTCCTTAAAAACGATGAAGCTCCAACTTCATTGAGCATTATTGGAGGTGAGTGAATGCATATATGGCCTCTACAATGACTTACGATGGCGTGCCGTTGTGTCGAGTCACTGTTACTAGCCTACCAAACAGCTCACACACGAATTTGCCGAACATGGAGAGATAGAAGGCACCGTGGACCTGGGTAGCCAGATCGAACCCAGGTGCACGATAGGGCACCTCTGACCACTGTGCTGCACGGTCGCTTTCGTAAAACACAAAAAATGTAAACAAAGCACTAAGATAAAAAACAAGGAGGATGCCGGCACCAACATACATCTTCGGATGGCATCTACAGTTTACATTTAGGTATTGCAGACCTTCTTCGGAGCACAGCTCTATTTTGTTTTTATGGCCGTAGAAAAGTAGAACAAAACATGCCATACCCAAGAT